AGCATTGTTATTGGAATGTCTCACAGAGGAAGATTGAATGTTCTGGGAAATGTTGTTCGGAAGCCACTCCGTCAGATATTTAGCGAGTTCAGTGGTGGTATTAGGCCTGTAGATGAAGTTGGCTACACTGGAACTGGTGATGTCAAATATCACTTGGGAACCTCTTATGATCGACCTACAAGAGGTGGGAAGAAAATCCATCTCTCATTGGTTGCAAATCCAAGTCACTTGGAAGCTGCGGATTCTGTCGTTGTTGGAAAAACCAGAGCAAAACAATACTACTCCAAGGATTTAGACAGGACCAAGAATTTGGGTATTTTGATTCATGGAGATGGTAGCTTTGCTGGACAAGGAGTAGTTTACGAAACTCTTCATCTCAGTGCTCTTCCAAACTACACCACCGGTGGTACCATACATATTGTGGTGAATAACCAAGTGGCTTTCACGACGGATCCAAGGGCTGGGAGATCTTCCCAGTATTGTACTGATGTTGCTAAGGCTTTGAGTGCTCCTATCTTCCATGTTAATGGGGATGATGTTGAGGCTGTTGTTCATGCCTGCGAGCTTGCTGCTGAGTGGCGTCAGACTTTTCATTCTGATGTTGTCGTTGACTTGGTTTGCTATCGTAGGTTCGGGCATAATGAGATAGATGAACCATCTTTTACTCAGCCTAAAATGTACAAGGTTCGTGATATTTTTTTCCTTAGATGTAACCCATAAAAGAATCTGCCATGCAGTTTTCTAATTTCTGTGAATTCCCTTGTCCCTTTTCATTTGATAGGTTATCAAAAATCACCCCTCAACGCTTCAAATCTACCACAAAAAGCTCCTGGAATGCGGTGAAGTATCACAACAGGATATCGACCGGATACAAGAAAAGGTTAACACCATCCTCAATGAAGAATTTGTTGCTAGTAAAGACTATCTACCTAAGAAACGAGATTGGCTTTCAACCAATTGGGCTGGATTTAAGTCTCCTGAGCAGATCTCACGTGTTCGAAACACTGGGTGAGTAGGGTTTGTCCTTTTTCTGTTCTTTAGTTCGTTTCTTTTTTCTCTTGTTCGTTCTACTGTCTCTTAAACTTACACCCTCTGCAGCGGTCAAACCAGAGATACTTTAGGACTGTTGGCCAGGCAAATTTCATCGCTTCCAGGAAAACTTCAAGCCTCACAGAGCGGTGAAGAAAGTTTATGAGCAACGTGCTCAAATGATTGAGTCAGGAGAAGGAATTGACTGGGCACTCGCAGAAGCCCTTGCTTTTGCTACCTTAGTTGTGGAAGGCAACCATGTCCGCTTGAGTGGTCAGGATGTCGAACGAGGAACCCTTTAGTCATCGTCATTCTGTTCTTCATGACCAGGAAACTGGGGAAGAGTATTGTCCTCTTGATCATCTCATCATGAACCAGGATCCTGAGATGTTTACTGTCAGCAACAGGTATTTTCAGCTCCATCCTTTTCCTGAAAGATTATTGTGGTTTTAGCTTGTTTTGACAAGAAACTGGTTAACTCAGATTAAGCTGATTTCAGTTTGTTGTTCTTTCTGTGAATAACGGTGATTGACTGTATATCTATGGCCAACTATATTTTTTGTCATTTCCTTAAAACGGGATATTATATATTGGGGAAAATCCCCATTGTTTATTCTTTCAAATCAGCATTCCTTTTTTTTTTGATAATCCAAATGAGCATTCTTCTTATCTAAGATTTACTAATAAGTTTTGTTTTGCTGTATGCAGTTCCCTTTCAGAATTTGGTGTCCTTGGATTCGAGTTGGGTTACTCAATGGAAAGCCCAAACTCGTTGGTACTATGGGAAGCTCAGTTTGGAGACTTTGCCAACGGAGCTCAGGTGATATTTGATCAGTTCATCAGCAGTGGAGAAGCCAAGTGGTTGCGTCAGACAGGACTTGTTGTGCTACTTCCCCATGGTTATGATGGTCAAGGCCCTGAACATTCAAGTGCGAGGCTGGAACGTTACCTTCAGGTAAACTCACATCCTAAATTTATGTACATCTATCTTATGGCTTACAGTGTTGAATTGGTAAATTGTTTTTTAAACTCGTCTGCATCTTATAGCTCTTGATTTTCTTCCCAACTCTAATTAATGCTTATGATCTTCTGTTACAGATGAGTGATGATAATCCTTATGTGATACCAGACATGGAACCAACAATGCGAAAGCAAATCCAAGAATGTAACTGGCAGATTGTCAACGCCACAACTCCTGCCAACTATTTCCATGTTCTGCGGCGACAGGTAAGAATAATCTTCTGGTTATCTTTTGAAACTGTCTCAAAACTTTTCTTGAATTAACTCCATTTCTCAATGTCTCTCACGGTGCACAGATACACAGAGACTTCCGTAAGCCTCTGATTGTAATGGCACCAAAGAACTTGCTACGTCACAAGGACTGCAAATCAAATCTTTCGGAGTTTGATGATGTTCAAGGCCACCCAGGTTTTGACAAGCAAGGAACTAGATTTAAGCGATTAATCAAGGATCAGAACGATCACTCTGATCTTGAAGAAGGCATCAGAAGATTGGTACTTTGCTCTGGAAAGGTATAAGTTTACATATGATTGAATCTTGATTGGCCCTAGGTTGGCAAAGATATTCGAATCGTTCTTGATTATTCTGCCTCTTTACAGGTTTATTATGAGCTTGATGACGAGAGGAAGAAGGTTGGCGCGAAGGATGTTGCTATCTGTAGAGTGGAACAGCTTTGTCCTTTCCCATATGATCTCATTCAGCGTGAGCTCAAAAGATACCCAAGTAAGCCCTTCGGTTCATTTTGGTTTATATGCTCACCCCCTACTTCTTCTACACTTTGGCTTCGTGTTTCTTTTTTTTGTTTGTTATCTAACACGGTGTGTTTCTAATGTGTTTTTGTTTTGGTCTGAAAAAAAGATGCGGAGATAGTGTGGTGTCAAGAAGAGGCGATGAACATGGGAGCATTCAGCTACATATCTCCGAGGCTATGGACAGCAATGAGAAGCTTAGGCAGAGGAGATATGGAAGACATTAAGTACGTTGGACGTGGTCCTTCTGCTGCTACTGCCACCGGTTTCTACACTTTCCATGTCAAAGAGCAAGCCGAGCTCGTCCAGAAAGCCATCGGAAAGGAACCCATCAATTAAAATACTCTTTTCCTTTTCTTACTGAGTTCTCAGACAAAAAAAAGATAAAGGAGAAAAACTTTACAATAAGAACTTTGGGTGATGCAAAGTGATAGACAACAACACTGACAAAATCCTCTGTTTCTTTGTTTTTGGTCCCATTGATTTTGAGCCTGTATCGTGGTGCAGGTTAATACACATTATACTCTCATTTTTATAGAGTTTTGCTCTTCCTCTTCATGTTTCTTCTTTGATACATCTTTTGCTTTGTTATAAATTAACGTCTCAGCTAAGCCATGAACTCCATTTTAGAACTGAAACAACAAAAAATTTTCATTATGTGGCTATTGTAGATTTTGTCTTGACAAAATTAACACTTTGCGTACCAATTTACTCAACATATCCGAAGAACATAAAAGGAACAAATATTAGTAATTCACAGTGGGATTCCAAACGCTTAAACAAAGGTTGATTAGTTCAATCTATAACCTTCTCCACCATAATTTCATCCACCCATTAAACAATGTGAAGTCGTTATACATTAAGACAACCAGGTTAGAACAAAGTAAACTCAAATATTATTCTCTTTGAAACATGCCCCCTTTAGATTTCAGTACATGATACATCTTCGATCTACAACACATACATACACTCAAATATCATACGTTTATAAATGTGAAATGTCATATACTACTATCATATACTTTATATTATCCAAAATGTAAAATTATAAAACGAGGACACCTTTTGATAATGCATCACTTTAGAAAAAAAGCAAATTTGTGGAGCCACTCTAATTGCTACTGCGAAAATATGCTTTTAATGGATGCACTCATACCTGTCATGTGTGAGACATTTGGTACCATCATTACCAGCTTCACTATCAAATCTTTATTCCTTTTTTCATTTTTGATTTTTATTGAAATAAATATCCATGTCACACAAAAATTCTATAAATCACGCTTAGTCGCCGCTCACTAACTATCTCTCTCCATACACACTAACTAGTAATTGAAAGAAGCTTCAACTTACGGCTAAGACAGAATTATCACGTAACATAATTTCCTTGCAATATCGTAAAAACGAAAACAAAACAAATTGCTGCAAACTTTTCACCAGATTGTTCCAAACTAGTTAGTTACTACGGTTGATCATCGATTGAAACATTATTAAGTAACGTTAAAGTTATTTTTTTCTTGACTGGTGCAAGGCAAATATAAAAGGGTGCTTGGCTAGTCTTGCATTTAATTAATGTTTTTGAAAACATACTAGGAGGGGATCGAGACTTCACCTAAATGCATTTAAAGTATGTAAGCAATTCACCAAACAAATCCTTCTTTGTAAAAAAAACATATACTCTGCATCATATGGCAATATTAATAGGCCCATTCAAAATACAATTAAAACTACTTTGTTGTTTTGTACTATGTTTATACAAGCATTGTGCTACTTTCTTTTTCGACAGTCAAAAGCATTATGCTACTTGTGGGATTTGATTTTTAAGACTTTTATGATGACATATTTAAGAAGTTAACGGATTCAGAGAAAATATGAAAGAACAATATCATTCAAAAAGATTGTTACAATTCTCAATAATTTGGATCAGAAGAGACGTAGGAAATAATATGTTCAAATGTGTTTTAATGTTCTGTTCAAATGTGTTTTAACGTCTAAAAGCCAAAATTTACAGCAGGAAATAATTATTAAAAAAACATAAAATGTGGAGACATGAAAAGAAAAACTGCAGAAATCGCATTTATTGCATTTGATGTCTAAACAAACTTTCCAATTAAACAGACTCGCAACCTGTCTCATGATGTTGTAATAAAAAATTAATAATATCCCAAAATCAAGAAACAACATAATTCAGAAAAAAAAAATTAAGAAATCAAAAAGAAAGAGAGAGAGGTTCAATCAAAAGCACCAACCAAACAAAGTTACCAACTTCTCAAAACCAAAGAGAGAAAGAAGAAGAAAGAAAGAAAGAAAGAAACAGAGCAACGGCCATGGAAGAGAAAGAGAAGAAAAGCAAGAAGAAGAAGAAGAAAGATAGCAAATCCTCGCCGGACATCTCCTTCAAACCTTCCTCCGACGTCAAAGGCCTCAAATTCGGCGGCCAGATAATCGTCAAATCGTTCACGATCCGGCGAGCAAGAACACTCGAGCTCCTTAAACTCCTCTCCCTCCCTTCTTCATCATCGCCGCCGCTTCTCTCCACGGCGGCTTATCTTCCGACGAACTTCACGATCTTAGCCCACCACGCTTGGCACACACTGACCCTCGGGCTAGGAACAAGAAAATCGAAAGTGGTTGTGTTCGTGTTCGAATCGGAGGCGATGAAGACGGCGATTGCGTCGCCGGAGGGAGGAATCTGGCCGCCGGAGATTCCGCTCGGAGATGTGAACAAGAAGATGATTAGAAAGTTGAAGAATTGGGAGATGGCGAGGTTCAAATTCAGGAAAGGGTGCATCACGTTTTACGTCTACGCCGTGAGAAACGCCGGAAACGAAGGATTTGCGGCGGCGGAGGACTTAAAGGTAATTTTACAGGCGGTGGTGGCTTTGAAAGATTTCATGGATCACACCGCAATGCTTGTTATGCCCCACCAAAAAGCTATTAATTACAACTCTTGCCCTCCTTTTGCCATGGCTCACTAGTCACTAGTATAAAATTGAAGTGAAGTGGCCCTCTTTTTTTTTTTTTTTTTTTCTTTTTTTTACTTCTTTTTATATATGAAAGAAAAGTAGTTCTGAATTTTATTTATTTATGGTTCCCTAATGAATTGTGATCATGAGGGATTGTTATTAATATCTTGCTTTCTTTTTTTTTTTTGGGTGGAAGATTGGTAATGAATAAGATCGACATGTTTGTGTTTTTCTTCCTTTGAGTCTGTGCATTTCAACTGATCGTGATCAGAAGCTGAGTCTCACTTTTTTATTTTGTGGTAAAATGGTAAGTTAGCTGAATCTCACCTAGAACTCTTTTCGCCAACAACTTGAAACTCTCAAAACAAAACAAATTCTTTTGTTAATGTCAATGACATAGTACATGACAATCGAAGAATTGCAAGATTTGTTCGTGCACTTTAATTCTTTGATCTCTTTGATCATTTTAAAAGTAGATGCTCTCGTAATTTTGGTGTCCGTGTCGATATTATGTGGTATAAATTATCGAAAACAAGTTTCACTATTTGTTTACTTCTCCTACATTGTGACAATTTAGATATGATTTGAATGAGATCAAAACCTCATTAATGCATATCATTCTTTTGTCATATATTTGACCTCAAACAGTCCAACAAGTTGTTTAATAGTTGACCAGCAAAATGTTAATAATTCTATATTAGCAATGTCAATATCATGCTATGTTATTGACATTGGCTTATTTAACAATAGTGGCCAATGGTTACGTTACTAAATGGAGGCATATTTCGAGCTATTAGTCAAATTGATTCTAATATACACAATTCCTTAAAAATAAGGATATTCAAGTATTTACGATTCATATCTTAATGTATTTAGATTTGGAAATTTATATGTTAAATTTTACGGACTATACGTGGTTTCATAATACGGATCTGAAAACATACCCCTAAATTACCAAAATACGATTGGCCGAGGAAACGGGTTTTAGAAGTTTTCTACTGATGCTAATCTCATGGCATGGAAGACATAATTATCTTGTAGATAAGTTTATATTGATAGACCATCTAAATGAAAGATCACAAGACACATAAATCAATGCGTGTAAGCGTAAGTCTGAAGCGAAAATTATTGAAAGCCAAGTTCCAACTTTATTTATTCAAATAAAAAGGAATTAACGAGAAAGAAAAAAAGGAATGAATAAAAGAACCTTAAAATTAGAACATCCGAAATTAAAACACAACAAACTCGATGATCTCTCCAACCCAAAGTTCCCATATGTTAGGACTTTTCCAAACAAATGCTACATAGACAAATCTCTTATTAAGACAACAACATACTTAAATATACTTAGTACTTACAAGCACCATTACTTGGGTTGTTTCCTACAACGACTCCAGTTCCACTGAAGTTACACGACCCATCATTGCGGCCGTTTTTCTGGAAATAAGCGTTCATTACAAAAGAAGCATGCGTCCTCAAGTTGCTCGGGTTAAAGCACGAACCACCTGCTTGGATCGGTTTACAATCAACACCTCCCTGACTACAAACCCAATCAATATTCCCTTGCAGCTGCGCATCCGTCGCTCCCGACTTAGCCACACACCATTTTCCACCGCCAGTACTAGGCGCAGGCAACGCTGGACGGCCGCCGCCGCCGCGGCCGCCACCACCTTGTCCGTTTCTGAGGAGGCCAACATCGTAAACCGGGGAGAAATCCGACCGGAAAAGCCCCCAGTTCCGCTCAGCGGTCGGACCAGGCTTACCTTCTTCGTTAAACAGACCGAAAATGTAAGTCTCGAAACGTCTGTTGGGCATGAGAGGTGTCCCTTGGCCTTGAGAGCGTTTGATGATGTTGAGGTTGAACCAAGCGGCGTTTTCAAGGGAGCACCAAGGTGCGTCGCAGGCGGATGGCCAGCCCGTTTCGCCGACGACGATGTTGACATCGCCGTAGCCAAGAGCTTTCATGGCTGAGTAAGTCGAGTCCATGAGAGCATCGTACATGTTTGTGTAGACTTTGCGTGTGAACGGGTCACGGACGGCTTTGTACGGTGAACGGAAAATGGCGAAATTTACGTTTTTGGGGTCGAAACCGAAGTAAGGGTAAGGGTTAACCATGAAAGGAGACTTGGTCCTGCGATGGTAAGCTAGGATTGGTGCCAATATGTTTTTGTCCCAGCCAGGTCTGAATCGACCGCTGCTTGGTGCACCGGTCAGGTCATAGGCTATGATGTTAAGTGAGTGTGCGGTTGTGACCTGACACCAAATTGACAACAAATAGTACATTAGAATCAATTATTACTTATTAGACTGTAACAAGTTACATGCTAATGATTTTGGTCTGATTTTCCTATGAAATTGGTATATTATTTGATTTTCCTAGGAGCATATAGATTTATTATGTAATAAGGGAAACTTAAGGCATGACAGACACACAATACGACTTGTCTTCGCTTTTGTGTCATCAAATTTAACATTCATAAGAAAGGGTCGGAATCTAAAGACAACCTTGTACGGTTAGATAGCACGTGGGATAGTCTTATATGGCCAGACCTTGAATAATTATCATCTCTATAAGTTTCAAGATCTTGGAATTTTGTTTTTCCTTTTTTTGTGAGAAATCAACAATTTGCAAAGCGTAATAAAAAAAAAAAGAAATAAGCACGCTGAAATATTAATACGTTTGGGTGAAAATGTGGACTTTGGATTTAAAATTTAAATAATTGAATTAGAAAGAAAAAAAAAAAGCAGATTACAAATCTAAGATTTGCAAAAAGAATCCGCTTTTGTTTACCATTTTTGTTCCACGTTGTTCCAACTTTATATGCGCAATCAATGCATTGTTTCAAATAAGAAAAAAAAAAACAAAAAACGATGCATTTTTCACGCCAATCATCAATTTTATTAACGAATATTAACGCATTTTTAGTGAAAAGAAAAAAGTACGTAAACAAAAAAAACACATCGTCATTTGCAATTTCAAAATTCAGAGTAGAGAGATCTTCAAAGTATGTAAAATTAAGAGTATCATTTATAAATTAACTTTACCAAACTAGACCTACTAATATCTGAAATTAGTAAAATATAACATAGAATTGTATTTTAATTTATTTATCTACCAAAAAAAAGCAAGAGATAAGCAAAAATGGAGAGAGAAAGCTGACCTTAACATCTTTGACACCAGCACGAACCAAAGCATTGTTAAGATTCCTCATCGCCGGTAAAAGATTCGAGATCATGTTATTATCTCCGGTGAGCAAAATCTCGTTTCCGACGGAGATATACTTGATCTTGGTCTGAGGATGATACGGCAAAATATTAGCCGAAACCCACCGGCGAGCTTGTCTTCCGTTAGCTAACGCCGGAATATCACCGTTAGGAACGGTGACGACGACGGAGATTCCAGTTCCGGCGAAGGCACGGAGGATATCGGGATTCACATCGAAGATCTTGACGCTATCAATGGAAGTCTGAGTCTTGATGAAATTCGCCACCTGAGTCGGCGGCGGGAGGTTTCCGAGAGTGCCGTAGTTGACTCCGATGGCGGAGATCGCGGCGGGGAAGGTGATAAATACGACGGCGGAGAGGAGGAGGAGGAGGAGTGAGATTGAAGGTGGCTCTTTGGCCATTTTTGCTAGTTTTGGAAAAAAAATGGGAAAATCAAACGATTCAAGCGAAACCCGTGAATCGTTTGAGGTTGTATTTTTTTAATTTTATGACGAGAGAGATCTAATGCTTATTGACAAACTAAAAGCTATATATATAATACATTAATAAACAAATAGATATGGCCGTTTGTATAGGCGTATACGTGTGGTATAAGTGTATATGTATATTTTTAGTGGCGACCAGCTGGATTTTTTAGAGAGAAAAGGAAAATTTTATTGTCTTTTTCATGTGCGTCGGCTTAAATTTAGGCCGTTGTAAATAATTGAAAAAGTGGATTTTGTTATGACCATGAAAATTTTAGTTAATTTGCGCTAAGTATAGTTTTTTTCTGTGTGTGTGTGGATATTATAATCATTTTGTCATCTTTGGGTGTCTTTTTTTAATTGGTTATGACTTTTTTGGGTGCTGTCAATATACTCAAGTTATCCAGCTTTCATCTAAAGATTAAGCCTAATTTTTGTTAATCTTAAAATTAGTTTTTTGGATTATTTTGATGACTATCCTAATTATATCCACATATCGTTTGAAACAAAACAAAAAATAGATATGAGAGTGTTGCTTTTCTTAGATATGCTTTTTAAAATATGTTCTCAACGAGCTCATGAGAGATCTGAGTAACCTAAATTTTACTACTAATAAAACAAATGAATTATAGTACTAATTGATAAATGCCAAATAATGTTATTAATGTAATTACGAAATGTATAATTAAAATATTCAATGAAAAAAAAAAGATAATGAGAAAGATAAAAAGGAGATAGATCGACGCGGTTTCTGATAGGGTCATATGGACACGTGTTTGTGGGATGGAATCGTAGGAGTTTGAACACTACCGACCAAAGTCAAATAGATTCGAGTTTCGATGTATGAAGATGTTGACGAAGCTGATTCTAAAGCTTTACGTACCCTTTTTTTTTGTTTTAAATCTTAGCCATTTGTTGTGCTTTCTTTGGAAAATAAGTTCCTTTCTTGTTTCCTTCTCCACTACTTAACAGTTAACAGTTTATTGTCATTGTCATTTGTCAATAACATTATTAGAATGATCAGATATAAACAACGTCACCTCTTTTATAAAAAAGATAATTGCACAAAATGACCCTAAAAGTTTATAAATTTGGGTAAATGGCTATTAAATTTTTGGCAAATAAACAACAGATTATTACAGTTTTTTTTTTCAGACAATGCATAACACCGTCTCATTTTTTCAGCCGTTTTATCCATGCGTCCAATTAGTATCCGAATAAGCAAGCGAACTCAACTATCAACCACCTTAAATTGTGTTAAACTATTGCTAAAACAATTGATAAAGGAACAACAGTGTCTGTCGATTGAAAATATATCAGAATGTTGACAAACAAAAAGAACAATGCCGAAATAAAATAAAATAAATTAGCTTATAAGTAGGCAGAAAAAGAAACATATGTTCTCAGTTGTGGGCAGAATGACTTAACTATAGGAAGAAGCATGTCCACTTATAGACTTATAAAAATGACTTGTATTTGCAGCTTTTCCAATAATAAGGAAGCAAATCTTCCACCCAAATCTTGATGTCTATTAAATACCTTGTATACTGACGTCTATCAGAATCACAAAATTATATTTTGATGAATTGGAGAAGACAAAACAAATTAGTAAATGAAGAACATGCAGATGGGCTTAACCAATTTCTTGATGCACTTAAGTGGGCCTAAAAAGCCTTATTAAAACATCACTCTCCACGCCGTCGTTTACTTCTCGAAACACCTCACCACCATTCACCAACCAGACCTTGGGCTACACGTCCATACTATTTCCTTCTCTCTCGTAATTTACGTTATTACCCTCATATATCCTTTGTTTTTCCTCCCGGAATATTCTTCTATACCCTAGAGAAAATCGTCATTTCCAAACTTAAATATATCGAGTATATTTTTATTTATATATTTGTGACCCCTGCGAGAGACAACGGCCACTGAACACACTCGATCTATCTTTTCTGCTTTAGCTCTCCATCGTCGTTCCTGTGACTCCTAAGCGTTTCTCGTGATCATCGTCTGAAAAACTTGAGAAGATGGCCAGAAAGTTCTTCGTCGGAGGCAACTGGAAATGCGTAAGCGATCTTCTTTGCCTAATATTTCCCTGCTTTTTAGTTTTTCACCAATGGATGCTCGTCCTCGATCTGTTTGTTTCCTCGCCGATCAAGTGAAGTAATCCGATCTTAAGATCGTTCTTACGAGTTTTTTTTCATTTTTTGCCTTGATTGACGTTGAATTTCAAATCTACGTTTTGATCGGATGTATGTGATCTAAATACCTATGGTTGAGATTTGTCGATTAGCGGATCTCTGTTTTTTTTTTTTTTTATGTTTCCAATGTTGGATGCAAATTCTTCACTGATTGATCTCTTGTTTCTAGCTTTGATGGATCTGTGCGTAGATGTTTTTGGCTAAACTATTTTATGGTATTACCTAAGGATCAGGATTGGTTTTTTTTTCTTTCACATCGTGAGATTTGGATCACGCTCAGATGGTTAAGCTTTGTTCTGAATTTGAATGTGTAGAATGGAACTGCCGAGGAGGTGAAGAAGATTGTAAACACTCTTAACGAAGCTCAAGTACCGTCACAGGATGTCGTTGGTATGTGCAGCATCTTTGTTGCTTTGATGGGAATGTGGATTTTGTGTTTGCATGTCTATGAAATCTTGGGGATGTGAATGTGGCCAGCGGTTTTGATCTTGAAAATGCTTGAAAAGGATAAGCTAATAACTAATTAGAAGCGTTTCTTAATTGTTTTTGTTCTGGAACAAACATATTTCTTACATGGACTTGGGAATACAGACAAATGTGTTTTACTGACTGTTTATATAGTGAAGTTGCGGGTAGATCAAAATATATGTGTCTCTCTGCAATTATGATCTAATCTATCGAGTACTTGTTGTTGAATTTTCTTTTTCTTTTCCAGCTACATCTCTTATGCACAGTTACTTTGGTTTTATGTAATGTTTATAGCAATAACTATCTTCGTTATTAGCCTAATAAGTTACTGGAAATTTTGTAAACGCAGAGGTTGTGGTTAGCCCTCCATATGTTTTTCTTCCTCTGGTTAAGAGCACATTGAGATCTGACTTTCATGTTGCGGCTCAAAACTGTTGGGTTAAGAAAGGAGGTGCTTTCACTGGGGAAGTGAGGTGAGATTCTCGCCATATGGTTTGGTTTTTGCAGTTGCATTAGATTGTGTTTAAAACAAATTAATTTCTTCGTTTTGTTTTATCTTCTGTGGTATCTTCATTCTATGGTGTTTGCCTGCCCTTATGTCTTGTGTGATTTGTGTGTGCAGTGCTGAGATGCTTGTGAACTTGGATATCCCATGGGTTATCCTTGGTCACTCTGAAAGGAGGGCACTCCTTAATGAATCAAACGAGGTTGGTCACCTTATACAGAAAATAAAATATGTGGTCTACTATTTGGATTTGAGAGCTGTGATTTGACTTTGACCTCTCTCCTACCTTTGTAGTTTGTCGGAGACAAGGTTGCCTATGCACTTGCTCAAGGTTTGAAAGTTATTGCTTGTGTTGGTGAAACTCTTGAGCAGCGGGAGGCTGGGTCGACCATGGATGTTGTCGCCGCCCAGACTAAAGCTATTGCTGGTATGTTTATTGTTTACCACTTTTTTCGCTTTTAGCTATCTTAGTTCGTTCTCTTTGACACTTGGGGACTGTTATAATTGTATTAGTTTCTGTTTTAAGCTCACTCTATGCTCCCTTGGTGTATGATCTTTTTTACTTATCCTTTTCTTTTGGTAATGGCAGATCGGGTGTCAAACTGGTCAAATGTTGTCATAGCCTATGAACCAGTGTGGGCCATTGGAACCGGAAAGGTCGCCAGCCCAGCCCAAGCTCAAGAAGTAAGTTGTTGTCAATGCGCGTGAGCACTTTAACTAATTATTCTTAACTCTTACGGGATCTTGTTTCGTTTATGAACAACAGGTACATGATGAACTGAGGAAATGGCTTGCGAAGAACGTGAGTGATGATGTCGCTGCTACAACCCGCATCATTTATGGAGGTAGGCAAGAGTAAACATGTCATACGGCAGTGACATGATTTTAGTTATATACTTATATGTTATCGCTGTTAAAAGTTATTTTTGTTACTTATATGTTTGATCATGCAAATTATGTTCAGGATCCGTCAATGGTGGTAATTGCAAGGAGCTTGGTGGTCAAGCCGATGTTGATGGTTTCTTGGTCGGTGGTGCTTCCCTAAAGGTATTATATTTTGCCTTTGTAAGATATCTTCGTTTTTTTTCAATCAAAACCTTGTCTAATTTTTTTTTTTTTTTTTTACGTTCTTGCTTTTGCAGCCTGAGTTTATCGACATCATCAAGGCTGCAGAGGTGAAGAAAACCGCCTAATGAGTTCATCAGATCCTGAGTTTTCAAATCATTTGCTTTACATGTCTCGTCTCCGATAAAATGAATAAGGTTGATACTTTTTGCTTCAGTTGTATTTGGCAATGTTCACTCTCTTGCTGTGTTGTTTTGAAAACGCAACAATTACAAATATCTTCCCCGTCTTTAAATATTTTCGAGTGAAGTAGTGCTCGGTAGTTTTAACCTCACGGCTTGCTTTCCAAATTCTAAAACATTTGTTTCATATTGTGTCGTCGGATTATTATCCTGTTTACCGTTATCAATTATAGCTTTCTTGGCAAGAAAGTCCTAAAAGAAACAAAATATTGTTTAAGAGATCTAAAATCTTTTAAGTTCCGATGCAAAAGATTCTTTCTAGTAGGTTATATACTTGTACCATTAACTCTTTATCATTAAAACTTTATTACCGTTTTGTGTCATCAACCAACCTAATATGTATTTTACACTTTCCATTAGTATTTTGTTATATTTGATCTCTGAATAATGGTGTCAGCCACTTTGAAAAGTGGAATACTTGTTGAATGACGAAAACTTACGGGGTTTGGCCACATAAGCTGTCAACGAGTGGGAAATGACTTTGTTTATTTATCGCTTTTGCCTATTAGCTTATCAATTTTGACATTTTAGGTTTTCACTTTATTGTCGGTAATCATGAAAAACGTCTACTCCTAGGAAAAATCATGTATAAAGTAAAAAAGGGAAACGAAATCATGGAGCGTATGATGATAGCGAGACTAGTAATAATCAATGAGACTAAAATTCTTCAAAACCTTACTTATGTATATGGATTTTATAATATTTTTTTTTTTTTTGGTAAAAGATTTTATAATATTTGGACCACGTAATATGAATGAGTATTAGAATATTAAAATATCAAAAGGAGTTGAACTATATGTAATAAAAGTGAATATGGGACGAAAACCCGACTACGAAAACCCAACTAATGCCAATAACACAGCGACTTATAAACACAATAAATGGGTTGATACGTGTGACTCAACTACAAACGTGATTACGTTTATATAATTATCTGACAAGTCAACCCACATTTTTAGAGATCCTCACAGTTCATAAAAATATACTTATCCGCAGTGTTTCACTTTTCGGACTGAATTTCGTTGATTATTGATATTATATTTAGTTGACGTTGGACTTATTTGCTTAATGAGCAAACAGCTGTGACCTTTGGAACGGAGGTTTGACGAAGTCATCGATCATTTCGCGATGGCGTATTTTGGGGGTCCGAAGCAATGTTTTGTGATTTTTTAATCGTCTGTTTTGAGTTTTGACAATTAAATATTAAATTATCTAGGATTCTAATGGGACAAACAGATTATATGGCTTTTTTTTATTCATTTGATTTTCTAGTCAATACGACCTTATATCAATAAACTTCCATTCTTTAATAGTCCAAAGAAAATTGGACATTCGACTCAAAACTTTTTTAGATTAGATATCATAGGAGGTTAAAGTCAGCCTATTTCCACCCAAAACAATCAAATTCACAATCTTATTTTCCTGTAAGTTTTCTGTTTTTTTTTTTAATAAAAACTCGATTACAATAGAATAGACAAATGTATATTATTAACATCAAACAAAGGGAAACTATTCCAAATGGATGAATGCAAAAGAAGAAAATTCGTAATCGAGCATGTGACCTCTGAACAAAAGGTGAATCGCTGTAACTGATTTTTGGGATTTTCTGAGCCAAACAAGATATTGTGAACAACCTGTTTTTATTTAGACTCTCCAAGTTTAAGCTTCCGTTGTTTAAAATTCTATTGTTACAATTACATAAACAACGGTTTGTAAATAATAGTGTCGGATGTGTCATCATCAAATTTTCTATATATAAAAGCTAGCATATTGCTAATAAAAATGACATTTTAAAAGCTAAACAGTTATGGCGATTTATTCAGTATATTTCATCTCTCTTGGCTTGGGTTTTAAGAGGTAGATACTATAGACAATCTGATCCTCTAGAGGACCGAAATGTCTACTCACCATCCTATGGGTGGTGGAGTATAATGGCCGCAAAACCGTTCTTGAAGATGGGCTTGAGGAAGACGATTGGATCAGGTTTAAATACGAGAGTTTGGAGCGAATCGTAGATCCCGGATCTTAGAGCTTGGCCACCAAGAGCCGCTCCACAGATCGGATTCCGGGATCCGGGAATTTTGGTATACTCCTTCATCCGTCAAGATACAAAGCAATGGGATGTTCCCCTACTTAGAGAATTTTTCCAACCTGAGGATGTCTCCCTTATCCTCGGGTTGAGATCTAGCCGTACCCGTACCTTGGATAGATACGCATGGAATCATTCCAAATCGGGACTTTATTCAGTTAAGTCGGGATATGATCTGATTCGAAGGACGAAGTTAGAACGGGAAGCTGGAGCGATGAGAGAACCGAGTATCACGGCCCTACAACGACATGTTTGGAAAGTCCGTACACCTGGAAAGATGAAACACTTTATGTGGCAATCTTTATCAGGGTGCGTTGCCACATGTCAGAACCTCACTTACCGACATATGGGTTCAGACAAACGTTGCCCTCGTTGTGAGGATCCTGAGGAGTCTATAAACCATCTACTGTTTTTATGTCCTCCGGCCTTACAAGTTTGGGCGTTATCGGACTTTTCGTCCCTTCCAGGTGTCTTCCCGAGTACCTCTATTTATCAAAATATGAGTTTTCTCTTTTGGAAAACAAAAGAGCAATACATGACAGATCCTCAAAATGATGTATATCCTTGGATTCTATGGTTTATTTGGAAAGCAAGGAACGAGAAAATCTTCAATGGGAAAGAAATTTCTCCGGAAGACACCTTGATCCACGCGAAGGTGGAAGCAGAAAGTTGGAGACTAGCAAACCAACCTGAAGACGATGATGATGCTCACGTTGAGGCGTTGGCCCCCCCTCCGGCCCCGATATCATTACCTGAGGTACCGCAGACCCCGATATGCCGGATTGATGCTTCTTGGATCAATCACGGACAGGTTAGCGGCCTTGGTTAGAGTTTTAAGGATGGCAGAGGAATTGAGATTTTTGGTCTACAGGGATGTCGTAGAAGCCTCTCGGCTCTTCACGCCGAGATGGATTGCCTCTTATGGGCTATGTTATGCCTGAGAGAAAGACAGATGACTTTGGTGCATTTTCAGACCGACTGTTCGGACCTTGTGAGCATGTGTGAATCACCAGCAGATTGGCCGTCCTTTATGACAGAATTAGAATCCTTTCGTATACTTCGCGAGAGCTTCTCAGAGTTTATCTTATCCTATATTTCGAGAATTCAAAATCTCCGGGCGGATAGTCTTGCAAAAGGAGCTCGAACAAGAGGAGTTATTTTTTCCCAAATCGATCATAACGAGCCAGTCGAAGATGGTTCACAAACCACTTCTATGATATGCCAAATGTGATTATAATAGTTGGGTAGCAGAAAAAAAACGACATTTTAAAAGGATTTACTATAGTACACCAACTAACCCAACAGAGAACTGGATAAGCTTTTTCACTTTGCTTTTTTTAACAAATTCACGTTTAACCTCGTGTCCAATTCCTCTAATATAATGCCAATAAAGTGGATTAACAAAGAGTAGATATTTTCAAACAAAAGATCATCTGTTGGTTTTCCACTAGAATCTTACTTTTCTTACCTACTTCTATGAGTAGATAATTTCTTACAAATCTTATTTTCTTACCTATTTATGTAAAACTTATCGTACTCTAACAAGGTCAAACTTGCTTTTGTAAGTCTTTCGATCAGACTAATAATACTAAACCCGAAAAATGTCTCGTCATTCCACACCGAAATGGCATATATAACATTTAAAAAAAAATAATATCTAACATTTTCGACAATATTTTTTTTTCCACATCCAACCCCACAACGGCTTCTTCACGCCGGCAAAAGATTCCAAAATCTTAGGACCATCTGAGTCAGGTCTAATCAGACACTATTTTGTATATAACTTATGATTAGTGATCTTTTTGTACGTTAAGCTATATTTTAGGTAATTTACATTGAAGAAAAAAAAAACAACCTACAAAAAGTAAAACCGAACAAGAGAAATGTTCCACCGATACTTTTTTTTTTCTGAACTCGGCTCAATCGTATTTTTTTCTTTTTTTGTCGACACTGGACTCAATCGATTAGAACCTCAAAAATGTGTCTTTTGGTCAAAGAACACTTTTGCCTCAATTTGTTTTTGGACTTTATTACACACAGAAAAAGACCTTTCTTCTTCTCCTTATTCTTTCGTTGCCTCTCGTATCTCATCAACACCCATCATCTTCCCTCACTCTCTCTCTTTATTCTCTCTCTAATAGTATTGTTCAGCTTTAATGAGTCTTCTTCACGCTCCTTATTTTCCCATCCCATGTTTCTCAAAATTCTGACAGAATCTCTTCCACACAAAAACAGCTGAAGAAGAAGCAATTTATTGTCAGAAAGGGCGAAACGAGCTTCTTCCTAATTCTTGTTCTTCGTTTGCTTCCATTCTCTACTAATGGGTTCTTGCCTCAGTTCTCGTGTCAATAGTACGTTCTCTGCAACTACAAACGTTTTCTCCACCTACTTCTTAACCTCCCCATTTTGTAAATTTTTCCCGGGAAAAATTGGGATTTTTTCATGTGCCTCTTTTCCAGTTTGCTCTTTTAACTGTTTATTGAAGATGGGTTTAAAGAAAAGGAATGAACTTTGCAAGAATCTTCCCGTGATCTAAGTTAAAAAAAAGTTTTCCCCTTTCTATTTCCCCTCAATTTTGACTTTGGTCAACGCTGTTTTGTTTCTTGCAGATAAGAGCAGTGGTCTCTATGACCTTCACCTCTCGAGCTGTCAATCATCATCATCGGCGGCTCATAAGGCAGAAGGAGAGATACTTAGCAAGGCTAACGTTAAGAGCTTCACCTTCAACGAACTCAAACTCGCAACCAGAAACTTCAGATCGGACACTGTTGTCGGAGAAGGCGGCTTCGGTTGTGTCTATAGAGGCTGGATCGATGAAACCACTCTCTCTCCAACCAAATCGAGCACTGGTCTTGTAATTGCTGTCAAGCGGCTTAACCCTGATGGTTTTCAAGGTCACCGAGAATGGCTGGTACTCAACATGTTTCTTATTATGTCTCTCCAATCTCAGAGATCCAATGTTTCTGAGTCTGATCTGTTGTGTTTTATTGTTGTGATTTCAGACAGAGATCAACTACTTGGGGCAGTTGAGTCACCCGAACTTAGTTAAGTTGATTGGTTATTGCTTGGAAGATGAACAAAGGCTTCTTGTGTACGAGTTTATGCACAAGGGTAGTCTGGAGGATCATCTGTTCACAAGTGAGTCATAAATTTCAACACTTTATGAAATTATTGGTGAGATTGTAGCATTGTTTGTTCTTATGTTTGAATGGTTTTTGAAGCAGATGATGTGCAGTGTAAGCCACTCTCTTGGATTCTACGGATTAAGGTTGCACTTGATGCAGCTAAAGGGCTAGCATTTCTTCATAGCGACCCTGTCAAAGTCATATACCGAGACATCAAGGCCTCCAACATCTTGCTCGACTCGGTAATAACATGCTCTTTCAATGTTGTCTTTACTTAATCAAGGACTTGAAAAGATACTGACTTGTTTCTATTTTATGACTACTTAGGACTTTAATGGAAAACTTTCAGACTTTGGGTTAGCGAGGGACGGTCCAATGGGAGAAACAAGCTATGTTAGTACAAGGGTCATGGGGACATTTGGTTACGCGGCTCCCGAGTATGTGTCAACAGGTAAAGTCTTATCAATTTTCACTAAGATATGATGCAATCAGTGGTTGGATAATGAAAAGCGCTGGTTTTGATGTGAATTTCAAGAGTTACATGCTTAATTCTTGATTCATCTTTATCTATCTTTACAGGTCACTTGAATGCAAGAAGCGACGTATACAGTTTCGGGGTTGTGCTTCTAGAAATACTCTCTGGAAGGCGAGCATTGGACTATAACCGACCGGCCAAAGAGCAAAACCTTGTGGACTGGGCTCGACCTTACCTCACAAGCAGACGAAAGGTTCTACTAATTGTGGACACTCGTCTTAACTCACAGTACAAGCCTGAAGAGGCAGTGAGAATGGCAAGCATTGCTGTGCAGTGCATCTCGTCCGAACCCAAGTCACGCCCTACCATGGACCAAGTGGTTAGAGCCTTGATACAACTGCAGGAAAGCATGGTTAAACCGGCGAAAGCTGATCCGGTTAAGGATACCAAGAAACTTGTGGGATTGAAAACCGAAGACAAGTACCAAAAAAGCGGCTTGAACAAGAAAGCCGTTCGTTACTGACTTCCTCCTAGTTAGGTCCCATGTCTCCTCGCGTGTGTGTAATATTATGTGAAGTGTTTTTGTGACACTCGTTATATAGTTTTGCTCCTCAAATACCACTGATTTGGAGATTGTTTTTTCGTTTGTTAAATTGATAGATCGAATATTTTGGCGATATATTATACCAAAATGTGGTAGTAATCAATTCCACTCTCTTCTAACTAATTTTTGTCAAGTTGATTTGTTTAGTAAATATATATTTCAATCATATACAGCTGTCGAATATACTCGTAACCAAGATAAATATCAAAATTCGAAGAACAACTCATAAACATTATCATTAGTCATTACCATTTACCCAAATGAACACATTCCTCAAAGGGTCTCACAAAGAGTTATGAGTGGCGGTTGTGCAGAGTATTAAAATGTTGATGTGTGCGCAAAATATTGGAAAAAAAAATCGCAATATAAGGCTAAGCCCATTTTTTAGATGGGCCAAAATGGGCCAACTCTCCAATCAAAAGAAGAAAGAAATCAAGGAAGTCACCCCTTTTTTTTTCTCTCTCTATACACTATTTCTCTCTCAAGAGAAGAGCTTAGGGTACACTTCAGATCTGTCTTCAAACTTGTTTCCTTTTGACTATCTTCTCTGCTACTCAAGTTACCAAGTGCTCCTTCGAAGGTACAATTTCCTCAATTCCCTCTTCAATTTCTGTTAATCCTCCGATTGTAAACCCTAATTTCTTACTTTTCTTCCAAGAACCATTCTTGATCTCGCGTTGAATTCGTCTTGTTGTACATTAGGTTGTTCTGGCGATGAGGAGATACAGTCCGCCTTATTACAGTCCTCCGAGGAGAGGATATGGCGGTCGAGGCAGAAGTCCTCCTCCTCCTCGACGTGGCTATGGTGGTCGTAAGGGATCTAGTCATGGAAGTCTCTTGGTTCGAAACATTCCTCTCGATTGCAGGTATTCAATTTCTCTGGTTGAGCTCGAATTATCTCTGTTAAAGACTCATATGTTTTTGCTGATTTTGTATTTTTTTTTCTTCTTCTTTCTAATTGTTTTGATTTGCAGACCAGAAGAGCTTCGTGTGCCCTTTGAGAGGTTTGGACCTGTGAGGGATGTCTATATCCCAAGAGACTATTACTCAGGGTGAGACTTGTTCCTTTCTCTCTATGTCTTCATTTTTTTACTAATTCTGAGCTACAAATGATAATGAATCTTTGAGTCTGACTTTGATTGTTAAATCTTTATAGATAGACTAGTGATCTGCTGATTGGCATATGATTTGGTTTTCTATCCGTGGAATTTGCTTTTATTGCTGTATGCTTGGAGCTATTTTCACTTCTTTTGTTTATATTTAAGCACTTTGATGGTTTATTTTCAATGATGAACAATTTTTTATGATAAAAGGGTGTTCATATGTCTAGGTTTGAACGAATTGAGATAAAATGAAGTTGATATATGAGTTGTTGTTTTGGTGATACGCATTTAAACTTCTTTTTTGTTTGTTAGTTGATCGAGCTAAGTTCTCGAGGTGAGAAGAAACATTTTTTTCGTTGAGCTCTCAATTTTTCAGAGCTTCTTATTTTCGGCTTTGCTTTTTCCGTAGTAAATTAAATGTTAAACTGATTCCCCAGGGGGTATGTTGGCTTGAAGTTAAAACAAGACCAAGCCCCACATTTGATGAAGGCCTCGTGAAAGTATTAAGTGTAAAATGTTTTGTTTGGAAGCAAGTGAAAAGTCCAGAATGTTTTCTTTTGTTTGGAAGAAAGAAGTGAAGAGTCTTCTATGGAAGCAGTATTAAGTGAAGTATGTTCATAAGTGAAGCTTGTTCCTTATGAAGCTATACGATAAATTACTCAAACCATAGAAGTTTGTTGGGGAAGTTGACTTGAAGAAAACTAACTTGGGGATCAAGTGCTACTTATTTTTACAAGATATCTCTTGCCTCTTTTCGAGTTGCTGTGATTGAACTGTTAAGAAAAGACCAGCTACTAGCCCTATATGTATATGTAGAGCTCTGCTTTTCATAGAAGTTCTCAGGAGCTGACGTTTACGGTATTTGAGAAAGGTATACAGTAGTCGAGTATAGGCTGATTTGCTGGTAATCCTAGATTTTATTCTGGTGTTATGTGCTTTTGCTATCAACCATCGATCACCTGGAATGGTAAGCTTGTAATGAATGATGCAGGGAACCTCGTGGGTTTGCCTTTGTGGAGTTTGTTGATGCATATGATGCTGGGGAGGCTCAAAGAAGCATGAACAGGAGAATATTTGCTGGGAGAGAGATTACTGTGGTTGTTGCTTCAGAATCTAGGAAAAGGCCTGAGGAGATGCGTGTGAAGACTAGGACACGGAGTAGGTAAGTATCAATCAAATAGCTCTTCATCAGTAATGCTTTTAAGTTTATTGTTTGTACAAAGAAGTTGAGGATGAAATAATCACAATGATTTGTTTCAACTTTTCAGGGAACCTTCAGGCTCAAGAGGTCGTTCTCATGGTTCGTGATTTTCTCTTTTGTTTGTTGTGTGGCTTACAGCGAAATTTCATCATATATGAACACCGCTAGATTGTGATACACTTGTTAATATGCATAGCTATTGATTGCCTATGATTTTTTGTTCTCAGGACGGTCTCGTTCACGGTCAATCTCTAGATCACGCTCTCCACGTCGTCCATCAGACTCTAGAAGCAGATACCGCTCAAGGTAACATCTTCCATAATTGTCAAGTCAAAAAGATGGATGTATGATTAACATAATGATATTACAGGTCTTATTCACCTGCACCAAGACGAAGAGGGGCGGACTATTCAGCATCTCCAAGGAGAAGGCAAGAGGAACGTCCACGATCACCACCAAGAGGTCCTCCTCGAGGAGAAGAAGATGGAAAATACAGTCGCAGGTCCTATTCCCCTGGCTATGAAGGTGCTCCTGATGCAGACCGGGACAGAAACGGAGACAATGAGATTAGAGAGTAAGTGAGACATTGTGTCTGAATATCTTTTGCCCGCTGGGGATTGATTGTGTCTGATTTGGACATTGATTGGTCTTTGTCAGAAAACCTGGCTATGAAGGAGAGGAAAGGCGTCGTGGTGGAAGAGCTGTTTCAAGGTCGCCATCGGGATCCAGGTCCAGATCTGTGGAGGTGTCTCCTAGATGAAACCTATGTTAAAAAAGCATGTGTCTCTTTCTCTCTGTCTCAGACCAAAACTGTGTGTGCAACTCTCTATGGGTTTTTGTCTCTTTATTTCGCTAGTAGTGGTCTCTATATGTCTTGGAAACTCCCTACTCTGGCCTGTTACAGATTCTTCTTGGGATGTAATGTTGTGACTTGAGATCGTTCTCAGTTTGTGGGTCTGTTTTGAAAAGTTTGTATGAAGAAGATTTGGTTAAGCTTTTGATTCGAGAAACTTTTTATTGGCGTCAATGGTCAAAGGTCGAGAACGTTCTCTTTATTCCTAAGCAGCAAGCAGCCTTTGTAAATTCCAGAAGAAGTCGTAAGAATTTCGCAGAAATTGTGAATTTACAAAAGTTCATTATATGCGTAGCGTACCTGATGTCTATGGGATCGTTTCTGGACAAAAAGTGCGACTTTACCCAATTTTTTGTTATTTTGTCTCGTACATAATTGCGTGTCTTTCCTCATATACCCGTTCTCGAAGTAGGGGTAAGATGGTCATTTAGTTTAGTTGACCAGACCAAAATAAGTTGGGGTGTATTTGGTCCAGAACCACGAACGCGGGTTATGTTCGAATTGAAAAATAAATAAGAATATAACTAATTTTAATTGGGAGCGAGAAGATCTGCGTGTTCTTTCTTTTGTGTATTTAAGGTCTTTTCCCTGACACAACCTACTTCATCATTTATCTTTCTTCTTCTTCTTCTTCCTCTCCTTCTTTTAGCAACACAAACACAGTAAATTGTTACTTAAAAAAAAAACACAAACACAGAATTTATTTATTAAAGTTCTCCAGAGATGGCTGTGGGAATCCTCGAGGTTAATCTGATAAGTGGCAAAGGTCTCAAACGCTCTGATTTTTTTGGTAATTACTAGTTGCTTTCTTCTCTCAGATTTGTTACCCTTTGAATTGCAAAACCCTCTTTACTTTTTTTTTCTTTTCTTTTTGCTTTTAGTTTAACTTAATTTGATTTCAATCTTTTAGGTAAGATAGAACCTTATGCTGAGATCCAATACAAAGGACAAACCCGCAAAAGCAGCGTTGATAAAGGTAATAATTAGCTTACAAAATTCATTCTCTCCAAAACTCAATTCAGCTTTATTCGCCTTTTTTTGTTTGACTTCTTTCGTTTCATGCGAGAGACTAGTTCTTCATTTTTATAATTTATTATTGTTTGATAGGAATTCAGAGAGATTTAACTCTTTTTTTTTAGGGATAGAGGAATTGCCGAATTGTTAATGACTTTTCTTGGAAAAAAAAATATTCACGTGTGAATATTTACTTTTGAACACCCAGATGCTGGTGAACTAATAATGGTTGTAATTCTTTAGAAGGTGATAAAAAAAAAGTTTAGAAGGTGATGGTAATAGTTGACAATTTAAAAACATTACACCAACAAGTCAACAACGATTATATATTTTAAATATTACTGTAGATCTGAAGTGGCTTTAGATATAAACCTGGTTAAAATGCATCTATAGGTATTTTAACTATTTATACTAGCTTGTGTAAACTACACATTAGATTTATAGAGCTATTCCTTTAACAAAGAAAAAAGGAGTTTAATTTTTCGCTATTCGTCATTTCAGTATATATTTATATTTGAGATATTTTGTGGTAGCTTGTAAGTTGTCTTTTCTTGCATGGTTTAAATCTTAGAAAATGATGTATGGTGTATGGAGTTTTCTTCTAAAAGTAGTAATCGCATTTTAGTGTGAGATCATCTGGCGGCTCTGGCCAATCTCATATTTAACTAAACATCAATACACCAAACTTTATAATTAATTCGTTAAATTATTATAATGTATATGCTCACAAAACAAGACAATTCTGCTTTTTACCAATAGGATAATTATTTTAATATCCTTCTGAAAGTGAGATAGCCAAAAAAAGGGCACGCGAACTTTGAAAACTATGTAATACAAAAGATCAGATAGACCTATAAATTAAAGATAATAAGAACAAATAACTAAAGATTTGACTGAAATTTTGTGTGATTTTTTAATGGAAAAGATGGAGGTAGAAATCCGACATGGAATGATAAACTAAAATGGAGAGCAGAGTTTCCTGGCTCCGGTGCCGACTATAAGCTTATCGTCAAAGTCATGGATCATGATACTTTCTCCGCCGACGATTTCATCGGCGAAGCTACGTAAGTATCATCATCCTATACATGTTCTAAATGTATCTATGGACTTTGATTAAAATAAAAACCAATAATATGTATGAAATAAACAGGGTATATGTGAAAGAGCTATTGGAAATGGGAGTGGAGAAAGGAACGGCGGAGCTAAGGCCGACCAAGTACAACGTTGTTGATTCCGATCTCTCTTTTGTCGGAGAGATTTTCCTTGGAGTTTCTTACTCTCTTATGGTACCGTACCCTCTCTCTCTTTTTCTTTATTTACTTTTTTTTACCTGCTTTTTTCTAACTAAATTTTTATTTACACTCCTGATTAAAATTCTTTGTTTACTATTTTTATTGGGAAATTTTTCACAGCAAGAAAGGGGAATGGAAGGAGAAGATTTTGGTGGATGGAAGCATAGCCAATTTGATTAGTTTCAATTCTTTAATTGCTCGATTCTCTGTTTTCCTGTTTTACCTTTAGTATCGACCGACATCATTAAGCTCTTCAGAAGTTTATATAAAAAAAAAAACTTACATTAAAAATATATAATTATTTGTGGGGTTGTGGGAAATCTCCATCTTAGTAAGAGTTTGAGTTTACCCCAATGCATGTATTAGAGATCTCATTGTATTTATAATTTAATTTTACAGATATGTATCAAAACAAATTTTTTTTCTTTAAAAGCGTTTGGTAACATATTACATTGACATAGTGGTGACATATTAAAAATCCCTCAATTTTGCGGACAAGCTGGCTCAAGAAGACGGCTCAACCATGAAATTAGCTATCCTGTTCAACAGGTTTAAACCGAAAACCGTTTCTTCGCAGTTGATCTTGACCGTTAGATTCAGAACTTCGGTGCATTTACCTTCGACTGTGATGGTAATCAAAAGAGGGATCTCACTGCTCAAGATTTTGCTGCTGAATCTTAAACGCAGCCCAGTTACAACTTCAAGTGTGTTTGCAACTGGCAAATCCACAGACACAAGGTATAGATTTGAATTGCTAAGCACCTTTAGTGTTATACTCTCACAGATGCTAAGAAATTTGTCTTTCCCATTCTCCATTCTTGAATCTTCGATATGATCTGCAAAACTACACCTACCAAAAGTAAAAGAGAACCCAGGTTAAGGAAAATCAGTTTCCAAAATGAAAAAATATTTTTTGCTTCCAAGTTTTATGTTACTTTTTTGAGAAAAAAAAATTGTGCAGAAAGTAAAATTCGAACTCTCATTTAATGACATCAACCCTAGAAAATTTAGTAGAGAAAGCAGCTAACCTTCGACTATATTCAAACATTCCAGGTAACCGTGATTCTGTGGCTAAGAATTCCTCAACGCTCATCGAAAATGGTTTCACAAGGTATCCAAGATCAGGTCGTAACTTGACGGGAACCTTCTTTCCATTGTATTGTAAGGTTAACCTCATGGGAAGCAGGTGGTGATGAAACCGAACCTGGATAAGCCTTTTTGCGCTTTGACGTGGTTCAAGGCAGCCAATTTCTTCCATTGGAATTAGTGTTGGCACATTGTTGTGAAATACACTGCAAGGTTTTCGAAAAGGGAAATGAGATGATCTGACAAATCAAAGATAATGGTTTTCTACCAGGACTAAGTCCTAGAAGAATTCGGATGAGAAGTTGTCTGATACAACACGTAATTAGGCAACCTTCATGTTAGCTCAGCGATAGATCATTTAGGCAAAAGCCAGGTTTTGTAAATCAAATGGACATAAAGGAACAAAACTCACTTTGCTTTTCCTACCAAAGTCTGTTCAGCAGAATCTGATACTTTCGCTGCTTCTTCATCCTCCAAATTTACCTCAAGGATAGGTTCCGTAGAACCGTTCTCAAACAGAACCTCTACACAAACATGCAACGGAGATACCGTAGAGAATTCGGATAAAAAGGTATAGTCTACCTTCAAGCCACTGCCACTTCCTGGGTCTAAGAGAGTATAGCTTTTAGGCTTCACTCGGCTTCCTATATCACCAATGGATATCTTCGCATAAGAGCTCTGATTCCTATCTAATGCAGATGAAGATTGATTTGATGTGCTAGGCTGCTCGTCTAACCACATATCGAGGGCCCTCTTTGACCTTAGTTCTTCCTGGTCGGTGGAAACAGCAACCTCAGAAATTTGAATTAAAGGATCATTGGCATCATTGGATATCGTTCTATCATCAACGTCACTGCTGAAATCTGAACCATTAGATGATTCAGAATCATATTCAGAAGAGCCGTCTTCATCCACTGTTTCAGAAGATTCCTGAGAACCATGCAAACCAGCTGTGGCCTCTCTTTGTCTATCAGAATCTGACAGCTGATCATGTTCTTCAAACACAAAACTACAGGGCTTTGGAAGAGGTTCATATCCAGGAGCCGCATGAAGAACTATCTGTGACAGAGATCCAGGAAGATAAAAACGATTTTGCGGGGTTAAAGGTGAAAAGGGTTTCAGTTTTCTTCCAAAGACATGTTCCACAACATGCTCAGCAATATTTTCTTGTGATGCCACACTGTCTTCCGCTGTCTCAGCTAATTTGCATGACAGCAATTTCTTGAGGAAACGAGTTCGATCACGGACATCATAGCTTAAGTCAGATTCGCCCAATTCAAGCACATAAACCACAATCCTTTTCAACATCTGAAAATCGTCAACCTCTGCACTTATTAGAACCTGCAATTATGAAGGTAATTGATCAATACCTTCTGAGAACTGTAGTGAGATGTGCCCAAGTAATACATATTAACACGAATAGTATATATTTTCGTAGTATACATACAAGATTCTCAGGAAAGAAAAGCCATCAGATGATAATTTTTATAGTATTAGCTCAGAAATAGAACTGAGTTTTGCAGAGAGAAACAAATCTATTGTTCAAATAGCACACATGTAGATGGCCTTTCTCATTAAACTATGTAGCTTTTCCTTCAAATGGCTCGATGTAGAGATAGAACACTGGTTATACTAAAGGTTATCTTAAAAATAATTGAACTAAAATAAAAAGTTTTGAAGCCACGCCCCTAGCTATACCTTAGCACTAGTATTAAGAATCTGTAGTTTTGTCTCCGATGCCTCTGATTTAAAGCTCCATGCAAGGTACTTGGTTACTGTGGTCAGCATCTTCGGAATTATATGACCCAACGAGCAGTAGACACCTACCATCCAAATAATAGTTGCACGAGCAGCAGCTACCTTGATTGAATCCAGACTACGGAACAGTTGAATTATCACCTTAAAACAACCAAAACAAGAAAAAAATCAATAGCTCATTAAAATAATTTACAAAAGAGTCAACAACATTTCTGAGATCATTGCGACAGCTTCTAAGCATGTGTTTTGAATGTGACAACATTAAGAAGCTTAATCAGTGATGAGATGTATATACTTTCTCATGACAAAGGGGATCTAGCTCTATGATAGTCTGAATTGACATCACGGCTTGCACTAACACCCCAGCGTCTCCATCCACTGACTCGAGATCACCAGCAAAAGATTCTGCAACATTTTAAGAGCTACTTTAACTTTACTGCCAATTAGTTTAACTAATGAATACAATTGAAATGAAGCATAACAGACCCTGTCTAACTAGTGCTAACAATCCATCAAGGCATGTAGTTGGAATTGTCGACAGTCTTTTTGCGCACAAACCAATTGCTGCAACTGTATCAGCTGCAAATCTCCTGTCTGGATCTTTGATATAATCCTGGAAAAAGCTCACGGTGAAAAAAAAAATCAGTCATGCACAAATAATTATTGCTAGAAAACTATTAAAGAGGGACAAAGATGACGATGCTTATTTAACAACACCTTCAGAAGTTCTTATAATAATGGAGACCTAATTGATCACGCAAAATTTCCAGAATGGGTAAAAAAGTTCTATAAACGATTAAGGATAAAGTAATACCTCAAATTCTCTTAAAATCGAAGAGATAGACGAAGTGTTAGCAATGAGGGAAAGCATCTCCAGCTTATGTGCTTTAACTTGATATGCATCTGACGAACAAATAAAGAAATCTTCGAAGTGTGGAGCAAAGAGAGAAGGGGCTGCTTTTGCAAAAACTAGGATATTGCAGAGGACCTGCCACAAATATGAATAAACAACGGTCAAAGAGCAGATTTTATCACGCCCACACAGACATGTGTGGAGTGGACAAGCAAGATGTACACTGGCGGGAATATAAAAGAATGTTACCACATATTTAGAGGCAGTGGATGACCTAAGCAAAAACAGGAGCGGTTTAACAATTTTTTTAACATCTTCCAGAGGTGCCATTATCCACTGAGCACCAGCTGCCGCTAGCACAACGGCACTGTTGTTACTCCATAACAACGGGGATGTACACTGAAGCAGGATCTTAACATCTTCATTATGTGAAATAGATGTGGTCTCTTTGCTATCGAAGGCAGATGACACTGTATCCGGGCAATTAGATCGAGATAGGTACTCGTCTGGACCTTCAATGTAACATTTAGATACAAGGCTGACAAGATTAGCATCAAATGAGTCACTCTTATCACCATCTCTTTTATCTAATGTGAGATCTATGACTAGACCATCCTTCTCATAGAAACCATTATTATCCAAACCATGTGAGGACAACATCAAAGATTCCCGTACAAGTCCATGCCTTGCAACGACGTAGCGCAAAAGAGTTCCTATGAGTAATATCTGACCCCACTCCTCTACGTCGGGAAGAATCTGGCACAGCTTTTTATAGCTCTTTCCGATCAGTTTGAAGTTATTTGGACAGATGGAGGTGAATGCTGCTGCAGCTGCTCCAACTACTCCTGGAGAATGGTCAGCTAACAATATCCCCACTAGCTGCGACAAGGCCAATCACCATTCAATGACAAATCACCATTCACAATTTCTAAAATTCATAAAACCAACTCTAATTTTGAAACAGTAGAACGATGCATAAACAGAAACTTAACAAGATATTCAAATCCTAGTGCCCATCTATACATGGCAGTAGTAACAACTAAAACGAAATTGACAAAGACAAACCTCATCGATAGCAGGAGCGTGTTCTTCAAGCCGCAAATCATGCAACTTTGGAAGAGCATTTGCAGCACATTTTCGGACATAAACAGCTGGATCCCTCGCGCATTTACCAACAGCTGCAAGTGCAAGAGGTGCAATTACATGTAAGCGAATCCCTGCCATTGTACGAAGTGCCCAAGCCCTAACCAACGGATTTGGATCCCCCAAGTCCTTCTGGAAGTAGTTGATCGATAACAACGCTTCATTTGGACGCCTATCAATGGAAGCTTGAATGTAAATTACATCAAGATGTAAATGAACAAGCAATATATAAGGATTTTGTGTTCACTAACCTTTCGGCATAATGTAGCAAATACAAGTAAACCAGCTTCTTCACTTCCGATGAGTGTGACGCCACATTCTTGACCACCTGCCAGTAAAATCCGTCTTAAGAATAGTTTAAAATCTGAGAGCAGTATGATTCTTCTCTCCATATGATCCAACAATCTAGGATTCTAAAACCTTAAATCGATCTCAATGGGTTCAATTCAACTGATTCAATGTTATCAAAGGGATCAGAGCAAATAGGTAAAACACCTGAGGGAAGAAATTGGAGACATCAAATCCCTGGGCGATGAGAGCAAGGAGACGCTTGAGAGCTTCACATTTCTCGGATTCGAACTTGCTATCGAGAAGTGGAGCAATGTTGACGTCCTCCGGATCGTCATACAGATGCGCGTCGGTGCCGATCCGGTTCACCACAGCTGAGGCTTTGCTCAGAGTCTCCGCCGTCGAACCAAACTGATTAAACATTTGAAGTTTTCCGATCAACGCCACATCCGAAATTCAGAAAAACCAAAAAAAACTTCAGCAACTGGAGAGAGAGAGACGATGAACAAGCTTTTCAGAAGAGAGGCATTGTGTTTGGGTGATGGGATAGCCTTGTCCAAAACCAGGATTGGAGTTAACCCGTATAAATGTTGGACTATCATAGTTAAATCGGATCCTAAACCGGTTTGACTATTCAAATCAAGCCCATCCCGAGTGGGCTAAGAATAAAACCCTAAAACCCATCTTAAATTTGTATATCTATCTATATGTGTCTTTTGCTCCACACTGAGCTGTGAATTCGCCGTCTTCTTCATCGTTGTTCTGATTCATTCTCCTGTGAAATGCTTTCCGGAAAGTGGATCAGGGAGTTTCTTTTTGATTTTTTAAATGAATACATTGAAAATTTTCAAATATCTTGTGGGCGATGATTATAAAGAGAGAGGCTTGAGTGGGGAGTGTGAACAAAACTCTTGTGGGATGTAGAAAAACCCAAATCGAAATCGAAGGAGAAGTAGAGATGATAAAATGTCTCTTTATTTTTCCCTTTTTCGAATCTTTGGGCTATTTTTCTTCATCCCTTTCCCTCGATGACGGTCCTTCCATTTCGTACACTTGATATGAGCCCTTATATATATTTTCATTTCAGTGTTGTTTTTTATGTGGTCTTCTTACACTGTTTTTCTGTCAAAATATAACAAAAAAACAATATTTTGATTCAACCATCTCATTCCTTTCCCGAAATAAGCAATTATCAGATTTTATGTTGGTCAATTACATCATTTTGACATGTTACATACTTACATGCTAATATCAACCTAGTGGATTATGGATTTGGTAATAAAAAAGAGTTTTAGAGAACCTCGGTTAGATAGAATCATAGAATCCTTGCGTTTTAAAGTATTGAAGCTCTCTGGAATCAACAAGTGAGCTGCTATTCGTACACTTTCAAAAGATCACAGAAACATTATAGAGTTATGGTTAATATTTTTAACCGGACTTTTTATACTATAAGTGGTGGTAAATTACACATAAGTGGAATTGGAAATTCACATTACAAGCAACCTTGTGTTATTTAATTAAGAGCTGCGGGCTGTTTACAGTTTTTCCAACAGCCACCTTCAGCTTCAAAATATACTAGTAGTTTACAAATTGAAAGATGTCGAAACTGAAAGTGGTGGAGTGTTCTTCGTATCTACCACTTGAATGTGTTCGATATCCTCACATTTTCACTTTAATCAGACCCTGAAATTCTTTCCGACAAAGGTTTGTCCAAACTGCCAGTTAGAAGGTACGATGTTCCATGAAGTAGAGGTTCTACGGTCACTGGCTGTGACACGGAAGGAAAGTGACTGACCAACAAGAACATCATTAGACTGCCAGTTCTGTCCCCAGTTCCTAGTCAAACTCATCCAAGAACCACTCTTTGACCCTTTCACGCTCGCTCTCACGATGTCTCCTGCTCCCGCCACGTTCGTGATCAGCACCAAGTTGAAGTAACGGTGACCGTTGATCGTGAACCTTATCCCTCCACTCTTCCTACATGCCACCCTATAAAATTTCTCAAGCTTATCAATTTCAATCACTCGAATAATCCAAATAACACTTTTAAGCGTAGATGTGAAGTATATATAGATACCTGCGGTAAGAGATGGGGACAATGCCGGCGCGATATTGAGCGATCTTGAGGAAAACGGGCATGGCTAAGTCGAAGTGAGCGCGTGGTGGGTTGCACCAGCCACCGTTGTCGCTAGGCTGAGCTAAGTTTGGAGGACAAAAGTTGGTTGCGGTCACGAAGACGGAAGGGCTGCCTGAGTGACACCATTTAGGATCATTGACACATTTGATTTCAAAGCATGCCCCGCAGGTTAAGCCACTGTTGAACAGTGCCGTGCTTAGCGCCGCTGTGTTTGTGCCATACCCTTGGCTGTACAGGTTTCCGTAACCGCACGCACCGCCTGACAACAGTTAATCAAAACAAAAATGAGAAAATGAAACAGAGTGCTCTGTTTCGACCAAACAAAAAGAAAACAGAGTGCTCTGTTTTTTGTTTTTTGTTTTTATATATGGTTTTTGGAAATGTGTGTGTGTGAAGACTGAAGAGAGTGGACTGACCCATGGTTCCGGAAGCGTCATCTCCACCGTAGAAAGTGGCGTGAGCGGTTTGCCAAGAGCTACCGGAGTAGACGCCGGGGATTCCGGCGTTGGTGAGGCTCAAGAGGAGAAAGAGAGTGAATATGGTTAAGAGAACCGATGGATTAATTGCCATTTTTTCGTAGATGTTTCTGAGTGATATCAAATGGAGGAGGTAGGGAATAAGAAGATTGTAGACTAAAAGGCTGAGAGACTTGATGATGGTGGAAATATCACTTGTGAAGATCGCTATTTATATAGGCAGAGAGAAGCTCCAAAGTTAGAGAAAGAGATATTATTGGCCGAATTTACTATTTTTCTAGAGAAGCATTTAGAAAGTAGATTACAATGCATGGTGAAATATAGGTTTATAACTGCTTGTAATCTTATTTTTATTGCAATAAGATGAGATCGTGTTAATTTTAGGGATCGATTAAAAATGTAATGTGAGATAAGCTCCAAAATTTAAATAAATAAAATGCCAAATGTCCATTATCCAACGGAGTACAAAAGATCTACTGGTAATATTTTTCATTAACAAGCTCTCATTCGATATCTATATAGCAGATCGATGAAATAGTGAAACGATGTAATAGCTAGATAGAAAAGATAGTTTTGTAGATTATCAGGGGTTTTTTTTTCCTAACGTATTTCTATACAGTACATTATATATAGCAAAATAATTTTCTAGTAACACATAGATTGATAAATGTTACGAATGGCATAATGATGTTTCTAAGTTTTTAAAATCACATTCTCAACGCTAAAACGTTAGCAACATGATCATGTATTATCTATCATCAAAATACTTTCATTTTGTAAAATCATATCTAAAATATAACTCGATTTATATGCAAGTTGTTTGTAGACGTACCGCGTACGGCGTACGTACCTAAGTTATCATGTATTAATTTGAAAAGTGTAGGAAAATATATATTTATTCAATCATCGCCGAGTTTGTAATAAATTCATGCATACACTTTTTGTAGAACTTTGAAATTATTTGTATATGAAAAAGCAAAGTCAACAGCACATTATATGATTTCAAAACTAATGAAGTTCAATTTTTGTATGGAATTTCGATATAACAAGTTTACAACGTCGACGTTAATTTTATTATTAGGACTGCTATATATGTATATCTGTTGATACAAAAATGGTTTTGATGTGATTATGAAATTGTCAATACTCAATGATTATTAAGGACATTTGGTGATACTCAATACTCATGATAAGAAAAAAAAAAAATAGAAATAGTTGGGAAATTACAACTGAGTGAAGCATGAGATGAAAATAAAGAACAAAAGAGGAAAACAGTTAGGGGCGGTGAGGGTGGAAGAGCATTAAGGACATTTGGTGATGACAAGGCATATCTATGCACCAATCCACCAACCAGATCTTGTTATATCTGCCACATCATCTACGCCAGCAAACAATATACAAACATATATCTGCACACGTGTTATGTTAATTAACCAAAGTTTATAGCTTCTCGTGTATATAGATTTTCTTCTTCTTCTTTTAATGGGTAGATATGATATTGTGAAGTATAATCATAATTCATATTTAGTTTCTATAAAAATACAACGAAATAAGAAAAGAGTGTATACTTGCAATTAGCTAAGCTACGTGTGATATTTTTCCAAAATGCACATGAACACTTAGAGAATAAGGAGTTGCTTTATCACCCAAGAACATCCCACTTGCATGTGAATTTATTATCTACCTCTCCGCTCACGAAAATTTCACGTCTTCTCATTTATTAATTATTATTTTTGGTTATATATATAGATGCCAATTGTCAATTTTCATCCCCAAAACAAAAATCATATATACAATTCTAGAGCACAAATAAAATAAAATAAATCATATCATATAATTATAACAAAGAAAGTCATAGTCTACATATGACAAAGACATTAATAGAGTCATATTATATAACTATAACTATAGTATAAGTGTCAGTCTTTACTCTTCTCTAATCAAAGAATCACTTGCTTCAGCCATTGAACAGGTTGTCCAATCTATCTTAGAATCTGTTATGGAAAGTATAACAACAAATGACGCTCCAAAGAGCACTGAAACTTCATATGTTGTCCCTGCTGATTCAAACAATATTTTATCAACTTCTCCCTCTCTACCATATATCCTCGATCCTCTTTGGTAAATGAGAAAATGTAGATGCGGTTGCCTTTGGAGCCATGTAAAATGGCAATGGACTATGATAGATCGTCGTGGATGCCATGAGTCCATGACGGTTGTGGAATACCCAAGTAAGCATCTATAGGGGACTATTTATTCTGTTGCCTTCCAAAGGGTAGCTATATGCTTAAGCTTAATCATATTTTCTTTCGAAGTTATAACCCACAAAATTATGGTTTTGTAGTCTTTAGTTTTTTACTTTACATTTCAATCGAAAGTCCTTTATTAAAAAACAAAACAAATAAATGTCTAATCTCATTATCTCAAATATCTTCGGCTATTCTATCAAGATGAAAAGTATTTGTATATGTATGGATCTAAAATAACTTGATCCACGTTTGACTGATCAAACAACTTGACGTGTGTATTCAATGATGTCACAATGTATGGAAGTTGCACATTAATATGAGGAAAAAGATTGTATAAAGTACAAAAAAAACAGATCTGATACTGGTCGAAAGGACCAGGGTACAACATACAGTACGATCCCGTATATTTGCATCTGGCAATGAAATTAAGCACGTTGCGATCTAGCTAGAGACATGAGCCCACTTGACCTGATAACTCGATATATAATAAACCCATGTCTCCGTATACTTTAATTTTCTGCTTAAGATCTACCACACCAAGGTGTTTTACGTCCTCCTTGCGCGTTATGTACAAAAATTTCATCGTCGACTCAACTCTTACAAATGTTTTTATTTTATTTTAGAGGAACCTTTGGTTTACATTAAATAATGACTAGCATGCTATCGATTTTGACTTCGGGAAACGTACATAAGAACCATTCTGATGGTTTTTAGAGCAAATTATGTCTCGGATTGAAATTGAAATAATGTGATGAAATGATTGATGAAATTACATGAAATAACAGAAACAGGTTAATTACATGCTCAGTAACTACTTAAGCGTAAAATATAAGTACGTGTAGATTATTAATTGTGAACTACGAATCAAGCAACAAATGAAATCATACAAAATGATTGGTAAAAGGAACCTTCGGTTTAAATTAAACATGATAACTCTAAGCTTTTAACCTTTCCGTCTAAATCGAAGGGTCAAGAATGAAGAAGTTATGTATATTAAATCGCTCGTAAATCCATCAGGACTAGGAACCAAAGGTCTAAAACTATTCTAACATTTAAATTGTTGGCGGTTCTCGACTACGAAGCAGAAGGCCCCAGTTAGGTTTTTTTTTGCATGAAAAGATTGGGCTTTAAAAGGTGACATTTTGCTTAAGATTTTATCAAGGATTTCGTCACGACTCAGGAGCCTCTCGTGGAAGAAAAGTTATTGAGTAACCTTAGATTTGAGAATGGTTCGAAAGAACTTTGAATTTTCAGACGACTCCGACCTAATCTTCCGGTATGGTTTAGTCTATCTCCCAAGCAAATCGCTGAGCATATTTATTTTTGTTATGGATGATGCCATAATTATGAGTAGATTGGTTAGACAAAGCGATACAAGTTCTTTACTTCTAGAGAATGGTTACGTTTACCAAAATGGTTAAAGGATGTAAGAGGTAAATCGTAAAAGAAGGCGGTATAAAAAAGCCAAAACTGGTATCGTTAGTTATTACCGTTTTTGTGGTTAGTAGTAAGTGGTAACTAGTAACCTTTAAAGCCATACCTTTTTTTTATGGTCTAAATGTTAAGTTAAAGCCATACTTTTGATTACTTATCGAATCCATATATTTTGTACAATAGTGGATCAAATCTCTCTCTGTTTTTTTTTTTTTTTTTTTGGCTCCAATCTCTTGTAATGACTAGAAAGGCCATCCAATTTTTTTTGCGTCAAATAGTCCATCCAATTTCAAGTTTCAGTGTTAAACAAAGTTGCCAAAAAAGGGTAATAATTGAGCTGAGAGGATTACAAAGTCAGACAAGATCGGGTTGAGCCCAAAATCCACAATTTTTTTTTTCTTTTCAACATAGCCAACAATTGCAGGCATTTCAAATGTTACAAACGCTAATTTATTTCTAAGCGCGTAACGCTATAAAACGTTTATAATAATTAAACTATAGAAGAAAAAAAAAAACCCTGTTGGCTAAAACCCTCGCTAACAAACAAACAAAAATAAACCCTAAACCCTTCTTGTCTTGTTTGTTCTTCTTCTTCGTCCTGCGCCGCGTTCTCACGGTCTTTCAACTCTCTCCTTTTCAAATTTCGCCTCTTTCGATTCTCCTTTCAGACCAGGCTCTAAACGGTAAGGCTTCTTCTATTCCTTGTCCAAGGTTTCTGTCGATTTTCAGAGTAGCTCGTCTTCGGAGGAAATTAAGCAAAGAGATTGATAATCCTACCTTTTTTTTGGTTCTTGATTCTATCGTAAAGCACGGGTCTTGGAAACTTGATTCTGATTAATTGGGATACATTGTTTCAAAGTCTTAGATTGGGAATTAGATTGCCGACCTAGTTATTGAATCGTTCTCTCGAGTTGATAGAGCTGACCCTTGAAACCCTTTGCAGAACCTTAGTACCTGAGCTGTCAAATGGGTAAGCTTGGGAAGAAAGCTAGGAAATTTGCCAAGAAAAATCTCCAGTCTGTTGAGAAGCGAAACAGGAAGCAGAAGCCCTTTCTCAAACGAAAATTCGCAAAGAGTAAGTTTTTTTTTAATTCCCGTCTTTGTAGGTATTTGCTTACTTGTATTTGTAGTGTTTATCTTCGATTTATCATGCTCGAATCTGAGGGTAGTGGAGAGTTAATGGTTTTTGCAACAGTTTTTGAGATGTTTACGGTTTAGGATCTAGATTATACTTTTGTATTTGATGGGAGCTGAATGTTTTAAAGCAATGTTATTAAATTCTGTGGTTTAGGAGATGGGCGTCGAGAAGTAGAAGATAAAGAGGAGGAGAAGATAGAACAGCCGCAGAAGAAAAGGTAAAAGTACAATCCTGTTACTCGGACAGCTTCTCAGTATTCTGTTTGAGTTTCTTATTTCTAAGTGATATCTGCTTTAATTCCATTTTTTCCACTGAAATTATGCATTTGCGTCACATTAATTTCTTTAATGCTTGATAGCTCAAAAGTTTAGTCGTGCGTTTATTTCGCCTATATGTTTTCAGATGTCTTGAAGAAAATCCTCGGGATATATTCATAGATGCAGTGTTCGACAAGGATGAAGTTAAAGCTCTCGGCGGTGGTGATTCAGATAGTGATGGATATCTGTCTGAGGTATTCGTTAACTTGGTGTTTGTTGGAGTTTCTCTGTGATGGTACTAAGTAGACAAGTACTCACAATATCATTGCTTTCAGGACTCTGGCTTGACAAATGCAGTGGCAAATGGAACAGAAGGTAATGGCTTTACATTATATTGTTTGTCTCTTATGTTCCCTTCAATTCCTTCCTTTACTGTTTGACTCAATTGATATATTTCCAGGTGAAATGAGTGATAATGAGACGACGATGCAGAGCAAGGAAATTCTTTCAGAACTTAAGAAAAAGAAGAGGAAGGTTGCTAGCTTGAATGAAAAGGTAACAGTTACTTGTTTCTTTTGAACTGTTGATGCAATGGCAGTAGTTGTTTACTATGTCAGGTTTTCTTATTATACTCTTCTTGTTTATACAGCAAAATAAAGGTGAAGCTATCGATCATCCCATGCAGTTGGTAGATGAAGCTGAATCAGATATAATGAAGCGTAAAGTACTCTCTGGATCTGTTCTAAGCTCTTGCTGTGACCTGGTTGATGAGGAGCACTCTGTTCAAGCGTTAATCAGTTTGTTAAATTGGTATCGAGCTGCATGTCATTATGGGCAGGAACCATCAGGAATTACTACGCCTGATATATACTATGACATAGAAGACAGCGAGACATTTGCCAAGGTCATTGTGTTTGTGCTCCAAAAGGCTGATCACATTTTCAGGAATATTCTGGGATTATCAGCCTCCAGTAACAAGGAGAAGATTCTGAAGTTGAAGAACAACCCAAAATGGGATAGTTTAAAACCACTGATCAAATCTTTCTTAAGAAGTACCATGCATCTTGTTAATCATGCTGCAGATTTGGAGATAATAGTCTTTGCTCTTACCCAACTTAGAGTCTCTATAGTATTTTTTGCCGCATTTCCAGATTCGCTGAAAAAATTAATCAAGGTACGCTCTATATATACACTGTTTTTATTAAAAGCAAATTTGCATATAGTGGACTAGACTCATTAGCTGATAATAGCTGAAAACATTGTATAATCTTTCGGCTATAAAATCTCACTACTATCTAGAGAGATTCATTGACAATTCCTTATTTACACCTTTAATTTAGTAGGCTTGGGTAAAAGCTTTTACGTAGTTTCCCCCTAACTAGCATTTTCTTTTTCTTTCCAATGTTAGATATGATGTACCTTTCTTTCTAGAGGAAGTCATGTTTTAATTGTGTAAGTTGGTGCAGCTTTCTGTTGACCTGTGGGTAACCGGTGAAGGGGTTCTATCGCAGCAGGCTTTTCTAATCTTGAAAGACATCAGTATGGTTTTTAACTCGGAATGCTTCGACACTTGCTTTATCAACATGTACAAAGCCTTTCTACATGACTGCGATATTCCAAAGGCAGATTCAGATCAATTGCCGTTCCTCAGAGATTCTCTTGTTGAGTTATGCTCTCAAGACATGCAGAAGTCTTATACCAAGGCCTCTGTTTCTATCGCACAACTTGCCAAGTTATTGAAGATGGCTCTCACTACAAAGAATAAGGTGCTTCTTAGTCTTTGCATACTCTTTCTTCTACTTAGAGATTTCTTATTTGTCTTCTTAGCCTCTTTCAATTTTTGTAAGTAGGAAGCTGTTGAGAAGATACAGAGCGGGCACTACACAAACTGTGTTGATCTCTGGGTGAATTTTATCGCCGCCAACATTCAGGATTGTGATCTCCAGCCTTTGCTTTATACTATAGTTCAGGTTATAAATGGAGTTGCTACACTATTTATTGGACCACGGTACCTGCTCCTAAGGGTTAAATGTATTCAATGGCTCAATCATATCTCTCGTACAAGCGGTATATTTGTTCCAATAGCGTCGTTAGTATTGGATATGTTGGAATACAAAACCACAAATGAAGGTGAAAAGCAAGAAAAGAAGCTTGAAGCTGTCTCAGCCGTAAAGGTTAGAAATTTAGCATCGTAAAACGCTCTGTAGTAGAAAGGTCGTACATTGTGCATTTTCAGTTTATATCATTCTTGAGTAAGCTAATAGGTACTTTGTTTTGCAGCTGCCTAAGAATTGGTTAAAGTCGCAAAATTTCCAAGAACAATGTATCTTTTCTGTGATTGAACTCCTTGCTGTGCACTTTGCTCAATGGAGCTTCCACATATCGTTTCCCGAGCTGGCTACTATTCCAGTCATGAGGCTGAAGAAATTTAACGAGAGGAGCACTATGGAAGGCTTGAAGCGGGTGGTTAAACGCTTTATCGAGCAGGTAATTCTTATAAAGATTAGAGCAACCAAACCAAGCATCTACTTTTGTGGAATATCAATAATCTTGGCTTTGAAACATTCTTGTTTCTGAGAAATTTTTTTGTTTTGTTTAGGTAGAGTTGAATATTGAGTTTGTGCAAATGAAGAGAGATGAAGCGGCTTTCTCTCCTAACGATCAACAATCGACAGAAACGTTTCTGCAGCTTGAGAAGCGAAATAAGACTGCTCCGTATACACAATACTATCAAAGCATCATAGACAAAGCGCTTGGAACGAAGGAGAAGAAGTGAGACAAGTGTGGAATAATATTACAATATTTAATTGGGGACTTTGCAACAACAGTAGTCTTTTATCGACCAATGCCTTTGAAGATTTTGTCTCTGTGTTTTTTCTCATTTGTTACTTCGTTTATAATCGACCTCCATTCATAAAAATTATAGCGCTAGATTTGTTTTTTCTCAAAAGCAATGTTTTTTATAGTCTATGTGGTAAAAAGTACTATACGCGTTAATTCAATAGGTCGGATCATTGCGAATATTAAAACTCGAATCCAATTGGTCCGGTCTCTTAAAGGAAATTTTTTTTATACATCTCCTTTCCAAAATCTAGCGCTATAATTTTTATGAATGGAGGTCGATTTGGGAAGCGGATCTATGTAAGATTCCAAATCAATTTGTATATTCCATATAATTTAGTTCACTTAAGAATAGAAAATTTTGTATATTAAATTCAGGTGTTCGAGTAATACCTTTTTTAAAGCTAATTTTACGAATACATAAAATTAGTGTATATCATTTTATGACGAACTAAAAAGTATTATGTTTATGCTTTTATAATATTAATTCACTTTATAGAAAATTATGATGATATAGGTACCTTACTTCCGAGGAAGAACTGAAAAAAAAAAAAACGCAGAGTCTGACGAGATTCTTCTGCAAACTTAAAGCACAATGGTTTCCCAACTCTCGACGAGATAAGATCCACGTCGCATTTATTTCTTGTATTTTTTACTCTTGTTCTAATACCGTTTAATGTTTTTTTTTATATGACACAAAGTAGGAGTCAGTTAGAAGAACATTAACTCGTCAACAATCTTACGAGTAAGAGGCGCCTTAATCAGATAATATTAAAAATTTAAAATAGCCCCAATCATAAATTTCAATACAACATATTATTCGTTGGTATAACATCTATTTCTTACTTTTTGAAGAATAAAAGACAAGTGTTTGTGGAAACAATTTATGTTTTCCGATTCCTCAAAGATTGACTTAAGATTTATGTAAAATTGTTAAATATATGATTCACAGTTAACATTAGCTCAACAATACAATATAGTCTGTAATGTAACACTAAATATGTAATAAAAAATGTTGTTTTATCAAAAAAATAATAAAAAACGTTGTGTATTTCTCTCATATACAAAAAATGTTGCATATATACACATCTTGCCAGTAACATTGGGAAATCAAATTATATTGGGAAAAATTAGAACATCACTAATAAGTTGATTCTCTCTGTTGGATTTGCCACGATGATTACCATATGTTGGTTTCTGTTTTAACTTTCTTAGTTATATATTAATTTAATCAGTTCTGTAACAATGCATGTGATTAATTGATCATCAATGTCAATGAGCTTAATTTGATTTTTATGGAATGTTTATTAAAGAAGTCTAAGGCGACAATGCATTCACAGAACAATAGTGATGGTCCAGTACTCCAGTTGAATCAACTCATATGCATCAAACATTTTAATTCGAGGATCTTGTCGTAAAAAAACGACACAATCAAGATGAAAATATAAAAAAGAACTCTAGCAAATTGCGGAGTTGAAAAATATGGATAACAAAGCAAGCATCGATGTGTGAAAAAGATAAGTTATGTCATGAATCATGTATTTTTATATGTCATGTTATATTAATTTCTACTTTGTTAAAAAAAAATTCCTAAGAAATTAACATAAAATAAACTGGGGAAAAAGCTACTAATGGACATAATATGTTATCCTTATGATGTAATTAATTGATTTTGGGATGAAATTTAAAGCAGTTGGCAGAAGGAGTTGGAGAGGAGGGGAAAAGAGGTATACGAGGAGACAGAGTCAGAGGGTGAGAGAGCCCTAAAGTGTTTTCCAAATGAAGAAAGCTAATAAGAATAGACTATATATATATATATATATATATTCAGAGTAATAATTAAAATCTATTTATCACTCTCACTTTCTCTTTTTTTTTTTTCTTTTTTTTTTGGGATAAATTGTCAGCGAAATTTAAGGGCTACACAAACCTACGAAGTACTATCTTACATTCATTAATTTCGAGAACCAATAGTTCTTTTTTTTTTTTTTCTCTCGGATCGATAGGTTTTGAGCAGTTAATGTGTCATGGCTCCCTTTCTATTCGTATTTTAGAGACGAGCTTCGATCAAATCTCATATTCTCTCTACTATCATCTACATTTGCCGGTAACAAATATTCCAAATTCTACATTTTGACATGGAAAAAATCTTTTTCCCAAAAGAATTTTTGATTAGGTTAATATATGTGTGTTATCCTAAACTTTTCTTTCATCACTTTTATATTGGCTCCTATCACTTTTTATATTTGAAATATACTCAGATACATAAGGTTATGCATGTGGGGTCATTACCACGCGTTTATATTGCAACCAAAACCTATTTTAGCGAGTGCGAGTAATTGGTGCATTCGATTATGGCTATGATTCCAAAAATTCTCAACAAAACAATTACGAAATGTGTGTTAAATCATAATTTTATCATGAATATGTATATAAATCAAATTTAATAATTTATTTTTGTCAAATATAATATTTAATACCATCGTTCCTTAAAGTTTAAAGCAAATTGTATAATAATAGACGTCCACCAACGATTCCAGAGCTGCTTGACTCGCTAAAAGTTAACATATCAAATATATTCAACATATTTTTGGGCACAACAATTTAAATACTTTGAGACTACCCTTAGGTATTAGTTATAGAAAATAAAACGAAAATATTGGTGTACACATTACCGAAAATTATATGAAGAGATGGATGTGACAATTAAGAAAATAAAAAGAAATAAAAAGGGCCCCGTACGAGGAGGAGGATTGGCTCTTTGGCTCCATTTCTCATGTATCCGTACCATTTGGCATATGCAGCCACGTCAATGTCCCATCTCCTCTATCTTCGTGTTTCCTTCTTTTTAATTTTTATTCTCCAACTTGGTACTTCCCATTTTATTATTACGCACGCACTTATTATTTTGCGAGATTTTAAAGTTTTTATTCGAGATCAGGGCAACAATACTAGGGTTTTGTGCCATACCAATCCTCCTTTCTCCCCCATATTTATCTGACACTGTAAATTATAGTATTGACAAGAAATTATCTGGAGTTATTCAATTGTATAGCCAAAAACTCTTATAGGAGTCCATATAACCATGTGTGCACTGAGAATGTAATTAATCTTATAGGCTCAACCAACATGTAGACAAGACAACCATGTATACTTGTTTTGTTATAGCTTTTTGTATCATCATTATAACAGAAACCGAACCATGAGGTCCCTAATGTATAATGACACCGATCATTATGCCACCACATGTGGGGAAGTAAATTTGAACTATTTCTCCAACTACCAATAAGTTGGTATTAACCTAGGCGGTCCACACATTTTCGTAAAATATAAATTGGGATAATTTTTATTTTTTTGTTCATGCCACTAATCTTTATATATATTTATAGCAAATTGATAAACTGCACAATCAAAATTTTCAAGCATAGCACTAAACTCTAATTCGAATTCAGTAAATACTAAAATATGATCTCTCTAATCGATTGAGCTATATTCGATTAGATAAATTACTAAATACTTAAAGCTTTCCCTTATCATCTATACTAACTAAGAGCTGAAATTTATTGCTTCTGAGTTCCGTAGTCTTTTCAATAAGTGGTAACTTTTTGCAACACAAGTCTCCTAAATCGGCAAGTTCCCTAGAAATTGCTTAGGGAGGGTTCGTTGTACAAGCGCGACGCCGAAATAATAGGTCCTTGCAAGCTTTTAGCATAACAGTAAGCCTAATTGCAAGGGATCATACGATCCGATGAAATCGATTGGTTTTAAAAAGAAGCCTACGAGTCAAACTAAAAACATATTTTGTGTATTATATCTTGTGATTTTATCAGAATAATTCAAGTATTTGTAATATACTATTTTCTGATAAATATTAAAAACTGTAAATGGGAAGTGTTTTTGGCCATTCAAAGATAGTAGCAACTACGTACCTAGCTTGAGGTTTACAAGAGGTTGTTTGCGATTAGAGGAGACACTAGATGAAGAAATTGTAGTAGGAGAGGAACTACCTGGACATTAAGAAGTTTATATGCTCGAAGTCTGTTACAGGGTTATATATACAGGCAAACACAACAATATTCATGTATTTCAAATTTTAACTATAGGTATTATACGACACAGATTAAATTTTATGACTAATTTTTGGGTACTTGGTCACCGAATGGATAGCGGAGAGATAAGTCTTTCCTTTCTACATCGGATATGGGATACAAAACTCTAAAATTATTTTTCTTTACATAAAGCACAAGTTCAATTTTTTGGAAACTTCAACATATTGCAATTTAAGTATTGCAACACACGAATCATGACAAACAACTTGTTTAAGCAACTATATATAGCTAATACAAACAATTATGTGTATTAAACTATTATTTTACTAATACAAAGTAGAGTTATATCTTTGGCGTTTGGAATGTTAAGCGTAAGCTAAGTTGTGGGAAGAGAAAAAAAAAAGTTGTGGGAAGAGAACGCCGCTCGTTGAAACCAAATAGCAAAGATGATAACTTAAAAAAAAAAAAAAACCAAAAAACTAAAAAGGCATAAAACATTAGAATGTGAAAACCCCAAAAAGGTTTTCAAAATCGCAATAATTTTAATCTGAAGAAAAGAGAGAAAGAGAGAAGCAGAAAGGGTAAGAGGAGGGACCAAAAGAAAAGAAACGTCTGAGAAAACCCTAAACCCTAAATGGTGACGAAAGGGAAGAGCTGTCAAATGTGTCAATTCCATCGATCCACAAAACTTAATGCTTGTGGACTACGCAACGCATCTCTTCTCTGTCTCTCTATTGTTTTAACACTTCCTCCATTAATCTACTCTCTTCAATTCCTTTCCTTTTTTGTCCCTCAGATTTGCCTATTTAATTAATTGTGGGCACAATGAGGGTTAATGAGCTATGGTATATTTGGTACCTCCGATTATGATGTGTAACTGTTTCGTAATCTCTCTATCTCTCTCTCTCTAAATCTCTGATATGTCAAGAAAATCTCGACCGTAGATTTCTTTCTCTTTCTTCTATTTAAACTCTTTACCCTTTCATACTTACTTCATCCTAAATCTTTTCTCCTTCTT